AATGCCAGGGGGCTTTCGACGAGCTCAAAAGATATCTATCTTCACCTCCTGTGCTCTCCAAACCCAAGGTAGGGGAGACCCTCTACCTCTACCTTGGGGTTAGCCCGGCGGCCATCAGCTCTGTGCTCATCCGGGAGGAAGACGGCATCCAACATGCCATCTTCTATGTTAGCAAGACCCTAAGGGAGGCCGAACTCAGGTACTCCCCTGTGGAAAAAACGGTGTTAGCCATCGTTTGGACTGTCAAGAAGTTGGGCCACTACTTTCAGGCTCACCCGGTTCAGGTCCTCACCCATCAACCCCTCGGCGCCCTCATGAGGAGCCCCACCAGCTCCTCCCGCATGGTGAAATGGGCTATCTTCTTGAGCCAGTACAACATTGACATCCGTCCAAGGCCTGCCATCAAGGGCCAAGCCCTAGCGGACTTTGTGACGGAATGTACCGCAAGAGCAGCCACGGATGGGGAGCCCTCGGCTACCTCGGACGACTGGTGGACCCTCTACACTGACGGCTCATCCGCGACCAAAGCATGCGGGGGAGGGGTAGTCCTCATTACTCCCGAGGGCTTCAGGGCCTACTATGCAATCCGCTTCTCCTTCAAAGTCTCCAACAATGAGGCCGAATATGAAGCCCTCCTATGTGGCCTTCGGCTGGCTGCCAACATGAGGGCTCGGCAGATCCACATCAAATGCGACTCCAAGTTGGTCGTTGGCCAAATATCCGAAGAATATGAGGCCAAGGAAGGAAGAATGAAACAATACAAGGAAGCGGCCAAGGAGTTGCTTAAGGTATTTGAGGCACACTCTCTCACTCAAATACCGAGGGCTCAGAACTCCGAAGCCGACATATTATCTAAACTCTCGGCAGACTCCCCCGAGCACATCTCCAAGATTGCCAAAATCGAGGAACTCAGCCTCTCAAGCATCCATGCAAGCCCCGTGATGAACATACAACAACGTCAGGAGAATTGGATTTCAGATATCACCGCCTTCATCTCCGCAGGGCAGCTACCCGAGAATGAGGCCCGCGCTAAACTGGCAAAGCTGAGGGCTCCCAGCTACACCATCGAAGATGGAAGGCTCTACAAACGATCTTACAATGGCACGCTACTTCGGTGCCTTCATCCAGATGAAGCCGAGGTCGCAATGGAGGAAGTGCACAGTGACACTTGCTCAGCTCACCAGGGACCCTTCTCCATGTCCCGAAGGCTCATTCTCCAGGGCTACTTCTGGCCAACCATGGCCAGGGATTGTGCTGACCTCGCCCGAAGGTGCACCGCATGTCAACATTTCCAGAAAGCCCCCGGCAGGCCAGCGGTCAACTATGCCCCCATCAGCACATCTGTCCCATTTTCTCGATGGGGGATAGACCTTGTGGGCCCTCTGCCGAGGGGTACCTCCAACAACAGATACATCATTGTGGCCGTCGACTATTTTACCAAGTGGGTGGAGGCTGAACCCCTCGCCAGCATCACAGAGGCGAAGTGCCGTCACTTCGTCCTCAAGAACATCCTCACAAGGTTTGGCATCCCCCAGCAGATCATCTCCGACAATGGAACACAATTTGAGGCAGCCCCCTTCTGCGCCCTTCTGGAGGCATGGGGCATCAAACACACCTTCTCCTCCGTTGCCTACCCTCAAGGCAACGGGCAGGTAGAGAACGCCAACCGGACCTTGCTCGAGGGCCTCAAAAAGAAGCTGGAGGCCGAGGGTGGTGGCTGGGTGGAAGAACTTCACAACATCCTCTGGGCCTACCGCACTACCCCTCGGCGCGCTACAGGTGAAACACCCTTCTCCCTCTGCTACGGTTTTGAAGCCAAAGCTCCTACGGAAGTCACCCTTCCTACCCGAAGGGTGATCCAATATGACCCCGAGGTCAACGACAGCAACATGGCCCTCGACCTGCACCTCATTTCAGAACGCCGGGAGCAGGCCTTCATCCGGGCAGAAAACTACCGAAGGCAAGTTAAAAGCTACATCGACGCCAAAGTTCGAACCCGGGAATTTTAAGTGGGGGACTATGTCCTCCGGAGGAGGGAAGCCAGCCAACCAACCGAGGGAGGAAAAATGGCACCAAAATTCGAAGGCCCCTACATCATAGCAGCCATCATCAAACCCGGGACTTACAAACTCAAACGCCCCAACGGGAAAGAGGTCCCTAGGCACTGGAATGTACACCATTTAGTTAAATTTTATCAATAATGTAAGAGCGGCCAAGCCCTCATAACTAGTGAATGTACTATCCAATGGCCCAAGGCCTCCAATTTCGAAGAATGGAGATACATTCAAGACATCAAGCCCTCATACTGACTACAGGCCCCAGGCCTCACCACAAGGAGAACCCCCTCCGGTACCCAGTGCCGAGGGCGGACACCATCAACACTTACAGCAAACAATAGAAACACCACGTGTTTTCAGTCAAGACCCCTCGGCACCCAGTGCCGAGGGTACTTCCCCACCTTCAACATCAAAAAAGAAAAGATTAGAACACCAAGTGTTCCTACAGAAGACCCTTCGGCACCCAGTGCCGAGGGCACACCTCCCTCATCAAATATCGAAACGAAGAAAAAACACCAGGTGTTTCAAAGAAGACCCCTCGGCACCCAGTGCCAGGGATATGCTCTCCTAACAGCTTCCAAACATCTATTGGGAAACACCAAGTGTTTCATTTGAAGACCCTTCGGTACCAAGTACCGAGGGTAGACGCCTACATCAACTACAACAAGAGAACACCAAGTGTTCCTACATAAGACCCCTCGGTACCAAATACCGGGGGGCTACACATCGAAACTAACACCAAGTGTTGTTTCTAAAAGCCGTACCCCACGAGGACGCATATACCGAAGGCGCCACCATCGGTGCCGGCGGCACGTAGTGCCCCCGGCCATTTGCAACTAGTGTGCAAATGAAAACCCTTCCTTGAAACGCTTTCCGCGTCACTACCCCCAGGGTATGACAGGCATGAGAAATGCCCAGGATTCGACTTTCAAAAACGGAACGCTATCCGCGTCACTACCCCCAGGGTATGACAGGCATGAGGAATGCCCAGGATTCGACTTCCAAACCGAAACGCTCCCCGCGCCACCACCCCAAGGGTGTGGCAGGCCACAGACTATGTCTAGCGTCGAGGGGACGACTTTCAAAAATGAGGCGCTTTCCGCACCATCCCCCAAGGGGAGGCAGGTTACGGACCACCATATCTTGTGCCCAGGAAACGTCCCTCGATCCCCTCGGCACTCGGAAGGTTAACCCGAGGGAGGAGAGCCATTGGTGTATTCTGATGGTCTCCTAATAGGCCCAGCCTTACCAAGAAACCAAGTTTCTTGATGCCTTCCCTTCACCACCAACCAAAAAAAAAAAAAAAAAAAAAAGAGGGGGTGAAGGGGAGTAGACTCAGCGAGAAATCAAAGAGTACACTCCAACAAAATCACAACATGCCGAGGGCTCCCCACGGGAACACCTCCGGCGATTGAAGACTCCTATTTCCCGAAGGATACTACTCAAGGAAATATCATCAGGAAACGGCTAAGTCCACTACCTGGTCAAAAGAGGGGGTGAAGGGGAGTAGACTCAGCGAGAAATCAAAGAGTACACTCCAACAAAATCACAACATGCCGAGGGCTCCCCACGGGAACACCTCCGGCGATTGAAGACTCCTATTTCCCGAAGGATACTACTCAAGGAAATATCATCAGGAAACGGCTAAGTCCACTACCTGGTCACCTCCGGTCACAAAGACACCGAAGGCTTCAACAACACAAAGGGACTGGACTGTCCAAAGTCCACTAAACGGTACTTCAAACAAACACCGAAGGCATCCGTTACGCACAAATACCGAGGGCCCTTTCCCCATGACAAGGATCAAATTCTACGACTTTTTAAAGTGTATGCCGAGGGCACCCGAAGGCTACACAGGGAAGCAGCACTTGAAAAAATTCTAAGTCCTAAAGGTGGAGCCCCCGGCCCAATCAATATTACAGCCAAGGGAATATGGTGGCCGAAGGCCATGCAATACAACAACACTTAAAAAAAAGAGGGTATTCTGTCCTAAATGAGTAGCCCCCGGGCATCTCGCAAAGTGATGTGGAATCAGAGGGCACCCATCACCCGAAGGCACCCAAGGGAAAATTCACACTTAGAATATTTTCTAAGTCCTACATGTATTTCCCCCCCGGTCAACTACTCTTACATCAGGGAGGGATGCCATCTACCGAAGGCTCCCAAGGGGGATTTTACACTTAGAATATTTTCTAAGTCCTACATGTTTACCCCGGTCAACGACTCATACATCAAGAAGGGATGCCATCTCCCGAAGGCTCCCAAGGGAGACTTTACACTTAGAATATTTTCTAAGTCCTACATGCTTTCCCCCCGGTCAGCTACTCATACATCATGGAGGTATGACACCTCCCGAAGGCTCTCGAGGGAAACTCTACACTTAGAAGATTTTCTAAGTCCTGCATATTTCACCCTCATCTCGAGGGACCTCATTGCCGAAGGCTACCTATCAATCGAGGGCTACAGTTCACAAGGAATCAACACTCAAGAAAATCTTCTAAGTCCTAAAAGAATTAGCCCCCGGCCTATTCAATATTACAGGTGGGGCTCCACAGTAGCCGAAGGCTACATGGCATACTACACTTGCAAAAATCTCTAAGTCCTGTGCATTGGGCCCTCGGTCCAACATTCACACATCAGGAATGGGCGCCGTATCCCGAAGGCTCTCAAGGGGGAATCTACACTTAGAGATTTTTCTAAGTCCTAGGAGGTGGGTTACTACAAACGCCCGAAGGCCTCATGCTGTGCTACACTTAGAAAAAAATTTTCTAAGTCCTAATTGCTGCCGAACCATCGGTTGCATAATCCAGCAGAGGGTGCCCAACTACCGAAGGCTCCTAAGGGCTAGCTACAATCGAAAAATATTCTAAGTCCTAGACATACATTCAAAAATACCGAAGGCATACACTCAAGGAAAACGAAGGCATACATTCAAGCAGAAAGGAATTGGAAAAACAATTCATATATACAAAGCCCGAAGGCATTCAATCATTCATCACAACAAAGAGTGAATATAGTTATTACATTGATTAGGCCGAAGCTATTACAAAATTGTTCAAATTACAGATACATATCAAATCATGTCATTCCCGGGGGCTTCGAGGAAACTTCTGCATCTGGATCGTCGCCCTCGGCTTCCCTTCGGAGCTCGGAATCCTCCAGGTCTGGCCTCTCGACATCAGGGGGGAGGGGGATACGGATATCTGGCTGCAGAGGGGGGAGCCCGTACGCCGCCGGATCAAAGTCCTTCGGCTCAACCTTCAGATGGCGGGCCATCCTCCGGTAGATGAGGGCTTGAGTAAAGAACTCGTCCCCATCATAATATTGCTTACCCTTCCGGGCCATCCACTCCTCCCCCGGGCCCTCGGACCATTCATCAACCGAGGCCTCAACGACCGAAGACAACCATGCCTTGTGCCCCTCGGTCTTCCACCCCCCGTCCAGGAACCCGGAGATGGCCTCCTCCCGGGCTGTGGCAACAGCTTTCGCCTTGATGGCCTCGGCCTCCTCGGCTGCTCTCCTTGCGGTCTCCGCAGCGGCCGCCTCAGCTTCTGCCTTCTCCCCCCTGAGCCTCTCGGACTCCGCCCTCGCTAGCCGGAGTTCCTCCTCGAGCTGGGCCATCAGCTTCGTGGCCTGGGAGTCCCTAAGGATCAGCTCCTTCATCTTGGCTTCTTGCTTAGCTTTGAGGAGGCGCCATTCCTCCAGCCGTCGGAACTGCTCCCCGAGGGCAACGCAAGTCTGCGGAGATAAGCGGGTTGTCAGGGCCAAACGTGATTTCTCAGTTCAAAGTGGGAAACAGAAAGACAAACTACAGTGAACTCACCGTGAGGGAAGACCGGAGGATCCTGTCTTCAAGGGCTTGATCATCATCATCCCCGAGAGCTGCCCTGTCAATATCGAGGGTTATACCCTTCAGGAGCGCCCTCGGGTCGGCCGTGCCATTCAACACGGCCGTACCAGCCGGAAGGGAGAGCGTGAGGACCTCGAGAGATGGCTCCCGGACCACCCCCGGCACCTGCGCCGTCGGCATCACCGGAGGGTCATCTACAATCACCACCGGGGGGTCATCCTTCGCGGCATCCCCCTTCTTTAACTTCTTAGGGGCTTGGGGGGGCTCCTTTGCCGACGGCTTTCTCTCAGCCACAGCAGCATCGCCCTCGGGCTTTTTGAGGGGCGCACCGAGGGGCTTCTGGCCACCTGCGTCCGGCCCCTTCGGATCCTTGGCCGGTTTGTTCTTGAATCGGGCGAGGCCTTTGACGTTCATCATACTTACTGGGACACCTGCAAAAAAAAATAAATAAGGGGTTAGGATCGAGGGGTCACCATTAAGTGGCATAAAAGATTAACAAAACAAATGGACAAACGTGCTAAGATGAGGGTGAGAATGCCCTCAGCTACTACCTCCGGAGGCTCCCTCAAACACTGGGAACTTCTCATCAGTTTCCCCCAGGAACCGGTACCGCCGGAACCCGAGGGTGTAGAGATCTGCTTCTTTGGTGCAGTCCTTGATGGAGATATTCTTATCCCGGCCCTCCGGGATCATGGCCAGAATCCTGCCGTCTTTCTCGAGGGCGGCGCTCCTCCTCTTCTCGTGCCTCCTGAAGCGGTCGCGTAGTTCCCTCGGGAAGGGGCTCTCGGCTAGCTTCACATAGCACCACCGGTCCTTCCACCCCTTGTTCGAGGAGGGCGCCTCGGTGAAGAGTTTGAACACGGATACCTGCTGCAGATTAGCGAATCCCTCGGCATTCGCGTGCCCCCCCTCCCCGGCACATGTTGAAGCTCTGGAAGAAGAGATCCAGGCTAGGCGTCACCCCCCGGGACTTACAGAGCTGAAGAAAGCCAGTGATATAAGAATGGCTGTTCGGGGTCAGCTGGCAGGGAACCAGGCCAACGAACCGAAGATACTCCCGGAGGAAGGGGTGCAGGGGGAAGCGGAGCCCCATGGATACTGAGAGGACGTGCACCGCAATGCAGCCCTCGGGAGCCCGGGAGAGAACGTCATCCGGACCCGGTGTCACCACGATGGCCGAGGGGCCCACGTGAAGCTGGGTGACGTAGATGTCCGCCGCATCAACTTTCGACTTGATCTCCGATGCGGCGGTGTTGAGATAGGAGTACCCCTCGGGCATATCGAGGGGCTTCCCTTGATCTGCTACGCTGCCCTTCTTCTTGGGAACAGCGGCCTTGGCCTTCTTCTTTCCGGGGGCCACCCGGAGGGGGACCGCATTCAGCGGCCGAGAGGTGCTGGCCTCCCCGGCACCCCGAGGGGGGAGCACAGCAACGGTGACCCTCCCGCTTTCCTTTTGTGCCTCCTCTTCAGCTGCTTGCCAGGCGATGGCCAACTCTTCGTCTTCACATTCCTGCTCAAAGCCCTCGGCCTCCGCCTCCGCCTCAGCTGCGAGGGCTTTCTGCAACTCCAAGGCAATGACGGCATCCTGTCCCACCGAGGACTCCGCACTTGAGGACTCCACATCTTGAGAATCACTCTGGGACGACATTCTCTAGTTCGAAGGCTCGTACAACTAGTGATTTCTAAATATTCTATCTCCTAGCCTAAGGGCGCAGTACAGGTAGCTAAGAGGTGAAGGGTAACTGGAGAACTGACCTTAAGAACAGAGGATTCGACCGGGGGCTGCTGTTTCTCTCTCTAGAAAAATGGGCAGAGCTTCGCTAACAGGTTTTTCGCACACGGAGGAATGCCTGGCTTTGGGGTATTTATAGGCGATAGAATCCGGGCTTGGGCCTGGATTCCGGGCCTCCGGATGGACGCCATCATTACGCACCGTCGTTTCACCCAACCGGTGACGCCGCCCACGAACAGCCAGCCATCACATGCCACGTGTGCCATCCCCCCAACGGCTATATTTCCAACGGCTATATTCTGGAAGCCCCCGGGTTTTCTACTTCACTCCACTTCATCAAGGATTGCCTCCGGGTGCTCTCACCCAGGAGTGCCCTCGGGTTGTGCCCCACACAGCACATTACACATGTAACACCCCTAAATTTCCCGCCCAAAACATTGATATATTTAAAAGAAATACTTTATTCATTCATCAAAGAGTTGAAGAAATAAAGCGGAAGTCTAAAAGGGAAATGGGTGTTACCGCCACATTCGGTCATCTCTTAACCGAATGCACAGGCAACTCAAAGTAAAACAATAAAACTAATGTAATAATAAGTAAATGTTAATTTCATGACTAGATTTAACTAAGGCATCTTCTAATTCGCACTCAAGCTCGAGCAATCCATCAATCCACATAGGCATCCAACTCATCACCTGATAAAATTTAAAGGAGAAGAGAGAGACAAGAGAAATAACAAAAATTAGCTTTAGAGCTAAGTAAGTACTACCCAACCCCGTAAAATAATCAGGTTTGACTAAAAATAGATTTTTATATAATATCATATAAAAATGACGCACTCTTCCAAAATACTTTTCTCTTTGATTTTTCTTAAAATCACTTCTTTGCTAAAATCTGAAACTTCTCTTGGAAAATCTCTTAGTAATTCTTCTCTTTAAACTTCTTAAGAAAATCACTTCTTCTCTAACTTCCTAGTAATTTAGAAGGGCGGTGCTCAACCTTTCGACGGAGCCCGGTGGACCGCGGTTACGGACGGCCACCCCGAACAAGTGCCGGTACCACAACTGCTCTGTTGGAAACGAAACGACTACCTTAAGTGTGCACACCCCCTAAAAGGGATTCCAAGCCCTCCGAGTAGTAAGTCATCCCGAGTGGTCGGAACCCAACCACCCCAATTCTAAAATTCTTGAATGATTAGGGACTACTACTATAACTTCTTCTTAAAAGGGATCATAGATCCAAATCTTGCTTAAAAGGGATCATAGATCCAAATCTTGCTTAAAAGGGATCATAGATCCAAATCTCACTTAAAAGGGATCATAGATCCAAATCTTGCTTAAAAGGGATCATAGATCCAAACTGTACTTCTTAGTAGTAGTAGCTCTAATCACCCTCCACATTTATCCGGATGTGGAAAAACCGACACCTCGGATTACTCCCGAGATGCTATCTTCTTTATGAAAAGGTAATTTTTATCTTCGCTTAATAATACTTCAAAAATACTTCTTAATTTCTCTAAAAAGTCTCGAAGGTATTTAAAAATATTTAATACCCCAAAAGTACTTGATTTATACTTCTTAACTACCATATATATAATATCTTCTCAAAATCACATACACAAAATTCACAATTCACACTTAATCACATAATGCATATAATAAGCATATAATACGAGGAAACAATTTTGGATTGGCAGAGAAACTTACCTTAAGTCCTGTTGCTCCTAGTTATCCTCCTCTAATCCGGTCTCTAGATAATCACCTTTTTAATTAAGATGATATAATTAGTCACTTATTCTATTTGTAATTACTTTACCCGCTTTTCTCCTTTTTATTATTCGAATTTATTAACTTAATTTATTAATTATCCGAATTTATTTGATTACTCACTTTCTATTATTAAAATTACCTTAATAATTTTATCCCTTAATTTTCAATATTTGAAATAAAATATCTGAATATAATTGACTACAACATCCAATTTTTATTCAATAATCACCATTAATTTTCTCTAATTATTATCTAATTACTTTATTTACATAACCGAATATATTTATTTTCCTTATTTTATTCAAACATTATTTTTAGTCCAGAATATTATTTTTCAACCTCACTGATTTATTTATTTCACCATTAATACTAATATTTCCTTACTTAATTACTTAACTAGTTTTATATGGCCTAATTTAAATAAATAGACTAAGAATCGACTTTATAAATTAATAACCGTCCATAAATATATTTTGGGTCTATATTCGACCTAGGTTGTCCAGATATCTATTTTATAATTATTTTCCATAATTATTTCTTTAATTTCATATATCTATTAATCGGTTTAATTACAATTAAATATACTAAACCTTATTTTTATTAATTATAAATGGTCCATAAGGTCCTAGTTAGTCATATATTTATCCTAGTTTACTCCAATATTTATTTCATAATTATTTTCGTCATTTAGTTAATTATTTACTAAATGTGTATAAATTGGCCCAATTACCATTAAATCCATTAAAAATAGCTACAAAAATTTATTTTCCAATTCTGGTTGGTCCGAATATGTATATTTATACTAGGTATTTAATTTATATTTTTCCAGATTTTATTTATTTCATTTACTATTTTATTTTTAATTTGTATTGCAACTGGGCCGAACTGGCCCAAATTAAATTATTCTGGCCCAAAAAAATCAGGCCCAAGACAGACCCCAGCCTTGGCTGGGTCGTCTTCTCCACCAAGTCGCCGGAAAAACGGGAATTTAAGGGGGGGGAGGTGTTACCTCGTCGGACGAGCGAAACGGCCGGCTATTGGCTCCGTTTGGGACGGCGATTGACGTTGGTGGGTTGGCGGCAGCGGCAGCTCCTCCCTCTTCTCCGTTTTCCGTCGAAAAGTTTTTCTCCGGCGAATCTCCGGCGAGGCTTTTCTCCCTCGTTTCACGACCGTTTTCGACGATTCTTTTTCCGTTGGATTCGTATCACGAAGGGGAAGGTTTGAGAAGTATTTTCAAGGCTTGGTTCTGGCTAAAACGCTGGGTCGCAATTTTTATATATATATACGTATATGTGTATGTATATTTCGTAGTTTTTTTTTGGGATGAAGAAAACGTAGGTTCTGGCCTATTATTTATAGGGAAAGATGAGGATTTTAGGTTGAGATGTTAGAGTTGGAGTTAAATTTTGATTCTTTTGCACCTTTATGAGTATTAGGAGTATAATTGTTATATAATTAGTATTACTAATGTACGTATGTAGGAGTATACTCCTAATACTAATGTTAGTATTTGAGTATAATTAGTATTACGTATTTATATATCTATTAGGAGTATAAGTAAGTAGTTAGTTAGGAGTATTATACTTACGTAGGTTTTTATATTATTTCCGTACTTAGTTTATATATCATAGGAGTGTATATATATATTATACGTACTTAGTTTATTTATCGGACCATTTTTATCAGACTAAAAATGTCGTAAATGTAAATTTTCTGTCTGGTTCACTTGTTTACTAAAATGTTGTTCTTATTACTGAAGTATTTTTATCTGACTAAAACGTCATAAATTTTGAAAATTTTATCTGATTAAAATGTCACATCTGTTGAATTTTTGTCTGACTCAATTATTTATAAAAATGTTATTTTCGTAATATTTTATCTGACTAATAAAAATTATTTTTATTTTTATTTAAATTTTTGGAGTGTCACAACACACGCCTTCGGGGTCACTCCTTCAGATCCCCACGGCTGCGTATCAGGGGCACCCCTCGGGGTTTCCCCCTCAGCACTGCAAAACCGGGTAGCCCCCGGGGAGTGCCTCATTGACGGAGGGCCCATGGCACACAGGTAATGGGAGCCCTCGGGTATCTTCATCACCAACTCATCAACAAACAGTGCCCCCCCCCCCCCCCCCCCCCGGTAACAACTTCACTGCTGCCCTCATCTGGCAGGCCCTCGGTCCCTGGATTGAAGGGCTCCCCTTCGGCACCACCAGGACATCAACAGCAAGCCTTCGGCTAATCAACACAGGAGCCCTCAGAAGAGAGAGCCTTCGGCATTCCCGCCATTCTCTATTTTTTGCCAAGGTTTGACATTTTCGTTTCATCATTGGGGGAATTCGGTGCACTCTTTTTCCCTCGTTAGGATTTTTTCGCAAAGGGTTTTTCCTAAGGAGGTTTTTAACGAGGCATCCCCCCAAAATGAAACGAAAAGCGTCAGCCTTCGGCCCACAACAGCAACGTACCTACTTTACTCCTTTTCACCACTTTACAAGTGCCTCAAGGAGTGGGGGACTGGAGGACCCCCTCGGGAAAATCATTAAATTACAAAATCTGTGAAAATCCAACAAACAACAAAGCAAGCCCTCAAGTCCCGACATGTGGGTAACTGAGGGACTACCTTCGGCAGGGACATAAGAGCAACAACTCCTCACCAACTTCAGAGATCACGACAGGACAACATCAAAGGGCAAGCACAAATTACTCCTTTTCCCTCAAGTACCTTTCGGCAAAAGGAGTGAGGGACTCCTGATGGAGTATATGGCCCGGGAACCCCCGGCCCACAGACTCCTACTACTCCAGCAAAGGCCCAACGGGCCCAACAGGCCCAAGTCACAGCGCCCAGAGTACCAAGCAGTCCGCACAACGCACAGGGGTGCCTTCGGCACCAGGGCCGAAGGCTCCAAATTGTCACAGAGCGGGTGTCTCAAGCAAACTAAGAAACTGGGAGAAAACGGCGAAAACAGCAGCCCTCGGCACTCTAAGCCCTCGGCACCAGGGGTGCCATCGGGAGGGAGAGCCCTCGGCTACTGCTCTATAGCCGAAGGCATCTCACTTGACAAGATATCCGCTTCACATGCGTACAGATCACCGTACTCTGCACAGACGTCCCATCCAACAGCCGCATTAAATGCGGCCACATGCGGCTGCCAGCGCCAACCAGTAGAGGTGACCCCTCAGCCAATGAGCGCCTGACACGTGTCCCTACCCGGCATTTATTGCTACTATAAATAGCACCCCATTTCCCCATTTGTAACCACGCAAAATACATATTGAATATACACTCTCTCTCTTACTTGTTCGCTCTGACTTCTCTCTAAGTTATTCCCCGTAATAACCCTTCGGATATATACCCCCGGGTAGACTATCCATCACCAATGTTACCCAACCCACCGCACACCAAGCCATCGAATCGCCTCTCGATCGAAGAGAAGAGACGAAGGTTATCAACGAGATGCTCCAGATCAAGGGGCTACCCTTCGGATCTTCGCCATTGCTAAAAAGGAATGACAAGAAGATGAGAGGATATGCAGATCCGATGTGGAGGCAGCATGGCATCCAAGCGCGACGCGACGAGAAGCGCAATGACGGCGGCGGAGGAGGTTGCGTGACGGTGGCAATTTGACGGCGGCGGCAATCTGAAATGGAAGACATGGAAGAGAAGAAGAAATGCTTGTCTGATGGATTGTGATTTTTAGGATTGTATTTTTATCAGGGGCGTTTTTGTTAGTTTATATGTAAGCGATCTCTTTTGTTCAATTTTTTTTATCATTCTTTTGTTCAAATTAAAAAGAGTTTTATGTTTGTCTAATCTAAAGGTTCTAGAATTACTTTTGTTATTATAAATTCAGATTTATTGACAAAATATGATCAAATTTACTATGCTTATAACATCATAGTCATTGAAGTGTAAAATTAAACATAAAATAGTCACTAAAAGTTATTACGATAGTCACACCACTCAAGATGGCACATTTTTATCCATCACTTTTATTTTAGTCATAAATAGAAGTGTGTAATTATTTCTGTTTTAGTACTATAAAATCTTTCATATTGCATAATTAGAGATTTTCCAAAATATTACTTAATTAAATTTATGTATAAGTTTGTGATAACTTGCGAATAAATTTATTGCAATGACTTTTTATAATAGAAAACAAATAGTTGAGGATGCAATGACAACATTTGAAAATAGATGTTAATAAATGTATAATTTCTTGAAAGTGTTGGAGAATTGTGTGAAAGTAACCATGAATACTGATAATTGAATAACATATACCCTGTAGTAATCAATTTTTAGTGACTTGTTGTTTTGCTCTAAAATTTAAGGACAAGATGAGTCAATACACTTCAAAACGTTTAAGGTGTTTTTACACTTCAAAACTCATTAGGGTCAATTTACTTCTTAATTTATCATCATTTCTCTATAAACTAAATTAAAAGCATAAGTTCATTAGCATCATTAAATATAAGTTTAAAGTTGCTTTAAAGGTGGCAAGGTAGATCTTTGAACTCCACCACTCGATGATCGTCATACATCTAATTTGCAGGGGTTACAATAGTCAATGAGGAGGTGTTCACTCTTCAATTGGCGATTCAGATGGCACGTCCCCCTCCTGAACTAACGTCATGGAGTGATTGAGATGCTAGGGTTTGGAAGAGGACGTTCCGTGTTGGAATTTGGCTACTTGCGAATTTTGCTTTAATTTAACCCAAGTTCTACAAATATTTCGTTACACAATTCCTCTCGTTTTTGGATTGGGTGTTTATGTGAGTCTTGTGATGTTTAGTTTTACTAAGATTGGAGGTATTGAGATTTCTAATATCAAGAATTGCTTTGAAGCGTTCGTATATTTTGCGAAAAGTTTTGCTAAGTTTTGAATAAACTTTTCTATGTCTAGTCAAAGAGTGATGAGACCTTTTGATCTATATTAGTCTAGATGGAAAGAAGGATTGAATTATGAATTTAGGATTCATGATTTTTATTATATCAATATTAAGTGATTTACTTTCAAAAAAACTTCAAAGTACAAAAAAGCATAAAGCACTTTTGAGCCTTTAACACTCTTAAATTGTGAAAATACTGGAATGGTTTACCCAATCGGGAGCCCTAGATGTCATATATATAATAAAGAGTCTCATGAGTACAATAGGAAACATAAGGAATATGGAAACCTAATTAATAGTGTTTAATTACTCTATTACACCCCCTCAAGATGTGCAGGGGATACAATGCGCAGATTGTCTCTAAGAAAAATAAATCGGTGTGGAGACAGACTCTTGGTAAAAATATCTCATAGCTGGAACTGTGTAGGAACATACCGAACAACCAGATCTCCATGTGAGACTCTCTCACGAACAAAATGGTAATAAATGTTAATGTGCTTACTCCGAGCATGCTGAATAGGATTAGATGATAAGTAAGATGCACACACGTTATCACACAATAGCCGAACATGTTTGTTAATGGGTACCCCTAATTCGAACAAAATGGAGCGGATGTGAAGAGTATCCTGAACTGTGTAAGCAATTGCCCTGTACTCGGCTTCTGTTGAAGAGCGGGAGACAGTTGGTTGCTTCTTGGATTTCCACGAGATCAAATTAGGACCCAAAAAATAGCAAAGTCTGAAGTGGACCGACTGCTATCTGGACAACCAGCCCAATCACCATCAGAACACGCCTGTAAGATAGGAGAAGAGGAGCTCGGCTGAAGGAGTAAGCCACGATTTGGAGTTCCCTGAAGGTACCTGAAAATACGCTTAACAGCCAAAGAATGTGAAGTACGAGGGGCATGTATAAACTGAGAAACCAAATGTACAGCAAATGTAATATCTGGTCGAGTCATGGTCAAATACTGTAAAGCACCTACCATACTTCTGTACTCCGTAGGATCTGCGAGGAGATCACCATCAGTGAGAGATAGCTTAGTGCGAGTAGGAAGTGGAGTACGAACAGGCTTAAGGGTGTGCAAATGAAACCGAGTTAATAGATCAGACACATACTTCTGTTGAGATAGGAAGAGACCTGATGACAGTCGAATGGCTTGGACACCTAGGAAAAAAATTAAATCCTCCAAATCTTTCATGGCAAAGCAGCGGCCAAGACAAGAGATAAAAGCAGAAATAAAAGAAGGGGAATTACTGGTAATAATAATATCATCAACATACAATAGGAGATGAAGAACAGAAGACCCATGGTGGTAGACGAACAAGGAATTATCAAGCTTACTACAAACAAAACCATGAGTCAACAAAAAACTACTGAATCCATAAACCAAGCTCGTGGAGCTTGTTTAAGACCATAAATAGCCTTCCTGAGTCGACAAATATGATTAGGAAATTGTGGATGTACAAAACTAGGAGGCTGACGCATATATACTTCTTCAGATAGATGGCCATGCAAAAA